GCCCCCCCCCGTCCCGCCCCGCCCCCCCCCCCCCGCCGGCTTCCCCCGAGGCTTTCAAAGCTGCTGCGGCTTTGCTCCTGGTGCCTCTGGTCTGCTGGGGACCGTCTCCAGCAGACCAGGGACACCGGGAGCAAAGGAGGCGGAGGGGCGCTGGGGTATAAGACGAAACCCTATCTTTTAACTAAAAAATTAGGGGGTCGTCTTATACGCCCAGTCGCCTTATACGCCGGAAAATACGGTACACGTCAAGATTACTCGGGAATCTCTGAATCCAGATTCCCAACAGACTTTTGGTCTAGAGCTGAATTTTCACAAAATCTCTATAATAGACCAAACAAAAACTTTGGATGTGAACACCTCAAACTTTGGGGAAAGGTTGGATCTGGAGTCTGACCCAAATTTCAGAACTGAGAGCCATCACTAATTATATCAAAATGAAATGCTCATCTCACATTTTTTGTGCTTTAATTAATGTACCAAAAGCCTTTGTTCTGAACTGCTTTTTTTTGTGTGTGTGGGTTTTAATGAGCCTTTCTAGGTAAACCATTTTGGTCATTTATTTTCATAGCAGTATTACGAGTTTGGTATTGGCATTTTTGTGCATCCATTGCTGATTGGTGGAGGTTCTCTGGGAAAGCCTTAGCATCCAAATAAAAGTTTTGAAATACGAGCAAAAAGGGAAAAAATTTGCTGCTTTTATGCCACGGGGTATGAACTCAATATCATGTCAATACACCTGGTAGGATTCTGATGAGTTATTTGTGAATGATTCATCATGCATATTCAGAACAGACACGGCAATAGCTCCTTTTGGTGTATGGAATGAATGTGTAATAGGAAAAGTATCCACTCCAGAGTATGGAGAAATGATGTAACATGTGTTTAGCTCTGGTTTGTGGATTATTTTTAATATGCATTTGCACAGCAGAAATGGAATGCATAATAAAAAACATTAAGGAAAGGAGTCACTGTGCATGTGCTGGAGCAGCTTTTCAAAACCTCAAAATGTCAGCCAATTTAACTTGTTGTTTTTCTGAGAATACCAAAAGACCTAGTTCATATTCTAGACTAATTACTTGTGAAATTTAATTCATTTCATTTTTAATTAAATGGCTGTTTAGCTACATCAGACCAAAGCATCAGAAACCAGTAAGCCTGCCTGCATCTTGTTTTTATTCTTCTGTGACAAGCAGACAGTTATCTCCCTGTGGACAGTGCAATCCTGTGCAGAGGGGGGTTGTTTGTGTTTGAGGCTGCTGATACGCAGATACACTTCATATTTATCAGCCACTTTTTTGGGCAATTATGGAGCATCACAGCAGGCTTTGACAACAGTCCCTACAGCCCTCCTAGAGCTAGACTGAAGGTTGTGACAAGGTTCAAGGGTTACAGTGCAGAAAATCAGGGGACTTCCACAGAACATCACTTGGGGCACAGAATACCCACCAGCGAGAAAAACAAAACCTTGCATGAATACAGGGCAAACTAATTCCACTCCCAGGTAGAAAACTTGATTGGGGGGTTCTCTGCCACAAATGGACATTGTAAATCCCCTGGGACAAAGAAGATGCAGTGGAGATACGAATGCAAGGGCAAATTCTGAGAAGTGCTGAGAACCTGTACATCTCACTGAAGTCTGTTCATGCAGTGGTGATAGTAAACCCTACTGTAACAGCAAGAGGGCTATCCCAGTTCCCTTGAAATCCCTGGGAATTATGGCATGCACTTCGATAGGGTCAGGATTTCAGCCAGGGTGGGAGAGCCTCTAAAACAACCCATGGGTCATACTGCAGTAACATAACCTGATTAACATAACCTGTTATGGGGGAGAGGGATAAGTTAAGGGCCTACAGCAGTGGTCCCCAACCATTTGGGGTTGCCGGGCGCCAGGGGGCATGGCCGTTCGCCCACCGGGCGCCCAGGGGAGGCAGGGCCCCCCCATAGCCGCATTCCGGCGAGGGGGCGGGGACACTTGCGCGCCCGGGGGCGCCCCCCCCATAGCCGCATGCCCGGGGGCGGGGCCCCCCCATAGCCACGCGCCTGGGGCCGGTGTCCCCTCCAAGGGCTGCGCGCCTGGGACCAGCACTCCCCCTGCCAAGCGCCGCGCGCCCAGGGCCGGCACTCACCGTGCGCCACGCGCCCGGGGCCGGCTCCGGCACCGCGCATGCGCCATGTGCCCGGGGGTAGGCCAGCCCTGAGCACTTGGCGGGCACAGACAAATGCCCCCGCGGGCGCCATGGCGCCCGCGGGCACCATGTTGGGGACCACGGGCCTACAGTGTTTTTTTAATATGTACCAAAAGGAGCACGTCATAAGTTTGAGATTCAGCATCACAGGGCAGATTTAGAATTCAGTGAGGTTGAACTCAATGAACATGAACTTGGAAGGGGATTTTTTTTTAAATGAAGGCAGGAATTTTCCTCCAGTGTTCCTCAGTCCAGTTTCTCCAAAATTGTCCCTGAACATTTCTGAGGTTTTGGGTTACTACAACTTCTCTTTCTAGTCATGGACTCTTTTGTGGCTCTCAACATAATTAGAGAAAGATTTACTACTACCTGTAGAAGTGCACCTTCCCCCATCTGAACATGGACCCCTCCTGCAGCTGTGCCTGCTGGATCTGCAGCAGCCATGGCGAGGCACTTCTCACCTGGCCTCAAGCGGCAGTGGTGATAGAGGCTTGGGGTTGGCTCTCTCCCCAAAACAACTGCATACTGAATCCCTCAGCCCCAGACCCAGCTTTAGCCCCACCCCAGAGCAATAATTCAAATGAAATATGCCCATTTTCATTTTATTTTCCAAAATACAAAAATGAATTGATTAAAGACCCGCACAATGCTAGGCAATTCTTCTAGTTTTATATGTTAACAAAATATTAGAAAACAATTTCTTCTGAGCCCTTTACTCAATTAATAAAATCCTAGCAAATCTATATGCATAAATTATACAACACACACACACCTTAGATGGGCCTCTACATTATTTAGTCAGCATGCTAGAGTTGTTTTGTGTGATATTAAAACACCAAAGAACCATACCATCATTGCTTGAAATGTCTTCTGGGTCACATGGGTTTTCAAATTTCAT